TATACACATATAATTTCGCTGAGATTGGGATTTTTGTGGATTGGGTTTGGGATTGCACGTGGCAAAGACAGCCGCAAATGGAGACGGCAACGCAGCTGTGCAATTTACAGTTTTATGGATGCGACGCCGATGCTTGCGAAATCCCGCGGCTCAACTGTGATTCTCTGGGATCTGGGCAGCGGATCGGATTGGGTCAGTCAGCCAGTTGGACACCCGGACAGGCGGTCAGTGGTCAGTGAACGGACTGGACCGGACCGGGGTGGCTAATTTGACGCATTGCCGTGATGCGGCATTTTTGATTTGAAAATCTGCAAAAACGCAAGCCGAAGTCGTAAAATCCAAACATAAAAATTAATGACTTGGGAAACGAACTTGTTTCCGATCCTACTATAGCCGACAGTTGAAAGTTAATATCGATTGGCATGTTTTAAGGCGCAAAACTTAAGATTTTTTTAGTATACGTGTATTAAAACAAATGACTTAAGAAACGAACTTGAATGGAATTAAATTCCTAACAATTTCTTAAAATTCAATTAATACACATTATATTATTCTCAGTTAACCAAAGACTTAAATTTATAATGTAAACTTTAAAAAGCATAAATTTAAACAGGTTTAAGGCCTGCGCCTATTGACAGTCAATAGATTCAAGCATTCTAAATTGCATTTACTGGCACTCGTAAACCGACTTAAGCTGCCATAAGCTAAGCCAACACACTGCAAGATGCTGCAGTTAAAATTTGCATAAAATGTGCATTAGCCGCCCACCCCCGTTCCGCCGCCATCATCATTATCACCAATGCAGCCACCACCAGAAAGCAACTGCAACCTAGCTTCACCACCACACCACACCACTCAGATCTCATGCCACACCAAGGCGCAACTTGTGCCGAAATCTGCACGACGAAACGTGAGAAAATGTTATAAACGTAGATGTTGCCGTTGCCGTGGCAGTTGCAGTTGCAGTTGCTATGCCATCTACATAGAGGCGAAATAAAAAATAAATAATAAAAAAATATTTGGTAAATTATGGGAAGCCGGTAAAGAATCCAAATCTGCAACTTGCAGATGCTTTTGCTTTTTCATTCGATGTTGGTGTTGCTTTTGCTGCGGAGTCTGTGACTAATTGCATGCCCATACAAATGCACTTTTCGTAATTATTTGCTAGTGGATGTTGGAATATGTGTGAATTATTATGCAGTCGAATCTTCATTGTAATCATGTTAATGAGCTTACGGGTCGGTCGTCTACGTCTTTAAAGCTAGGCGGCGGTGGCGGCGGCATTGTTCGTGATTCTTCTGGCAAGAATATCTGACTCAAATGCCAAATGGCAGAGAAGACTAATGCTGACCAGGATGTAAAGACCTGGACATGGTAAGGTTACATTATCATTTTTCCGACAACTTTTATTTTATGTTAATTCAATTAAACGGCAACTTTTGTCCCCCAACCAGCATACTGAGCATTGCCTTTTACTGAACCCTGCCCGCAATAGTTTGGGTCTTCTTCAAATTTCGTTTGAAGTAAACATTTTGGCGCAAAAAACGTTTTTGAGGAGCGCCACTTGCTGAGCGTTTGTTTGCCAAAAAACACGACAATAACCCCAGTCAGGCACTAAAGCAACATCCACGGCAGCAACATCTAGAGACTCGGCAGCAACAGCAACGGCTAGAGCAGCCTCATCGCTGATTTATGCGTTTTGCAGCATTTAAATTGGCATTTATGTCAAACTACGGTAAGGGTAAGTAATATTTTTCAGTATAATACATTTCGCTTTATTTGTTTTATAAGCGTCCTTGGGGTTTGCCGGCTTCGACACTTTTCCAGCCAATAGCAGCGACAGAGGTCTCTTTCCCATGGCTGCCAATCGCAAAGGCAAGGGAACGATGATGATGATGATAGTTTTGATGTCGAGTGTTTACTTTTATATTCAGTTACGGTAACGCTTCGACTTTATTGAGCTGCAACAAATTGGTTAATTGTTGGAATGTATAAGGTTAATCAATGCCGTGGTCTTAAAAGATTATCTTCCATAAAAAATATCATTTTAATACAACAGGTTTTACATTAAACATTCATATGAGGAAGTTCCATTTCGAGAAAATGGTTTCTTTAGTCAAAAATCTATATATTTTAGTTTAGATTACCAGTTTTTTCATAAATTTGGCTTTTTCCTGTTTTTTTGCAATTTTTGTCCACACAAAATTGACCTTTGTTCGCTTAACATTTCGGTCTAGACCGGAATCATCCAGGTCCGGCGGAGAATGGAGAACGAATTGCCACAAATTGTGGCAACTGCCAGATGCTACTAGTATAACATGCAGCTTGCCGCTCACAAAACGTTGCAAATTCGGATCCTCTACGCTAGATCTTGAGTCAGCATATGAAGACAAAATGCCAGTGGCCTTGGCGCATGCTGAGAATGTTGCTGACGGACGGGTAACAGCAACTGCATCAGCCACAGGTAACTGCATCTGCAACAGAAGCATCCATCTACTTCCACCTTGACGATGGCTGGCTGAATCTTTCGAAAGCTGCCAAATCAGTTCGGCTTTCAATGGCTGTTATAGTTACGATGCGAGTGTGTTTTTCTGTTTTGCGAGTGGTTTATGTGAAAAATCACATCACTTTTGATTCGTCTGGCATACGGCATACTGGAATTACCCAATAGGCAGGTAATGAAAATGTGTTGGCGTAATTAATTAAACAAATTATGTGAATTGCGCAGACGCATTGACGTTTTTGGTGCAGCATCCAAGTCGATTGCAATTTTTATTAATTTCACTTAGCGGTGGTGGGAATGCACCAGAGCTATAAAAAGTGCATCAACCAGTGCAGCATTAGTGGTAGCAAGTAGCAAGTAGCAAGTAGCGATACTGCACTTTTGGTCAGCAGTGATTACAATTGCAGCAGTAAACATTTTGCAATGCTGCTTTTACGTGCAAAGGCCATATAAGCCAACTTATGGGCACACCTGGCCAAACAGTGGGTCTACTCTGGCTAAAACTTTTAGATTCCTTGGGCCACACAGGGAGAAAAGGTTGATTTGAAGGAAACTAAATAAAATCAAACCATGACTTAGATATCCTTATATTAAAATGAAAGAAACTATTAAAATAAATATACTACTGGGGCTATCAAAATTTAATTATTTCCTGTTTCATGTCATCTTTTTTCCAGGTGCAGCACTTGGCTCATTGTGTACTTTGTGCCATTTTTGGCCAAAAAATTCTTCAATTCTTTGTGGCCAACTGCAGCTGTACAATCGAATCCCATCGCCGCCCCGAGTGCCATGTCATTCATTGTTTGGGAAAATGCGGCTCAATCAATTATTAATTACACGCCTTGTTGTGCCGTTGCATTCAACTGAAGTGGCGTGGCCACTTCAAGAGTGCCCCAGTCCATCGCCCAGCTATTGTCTGGGCTACATCTTCATATCTTCACCAAATCGCCAAAGTCTCCTCTGCCCATTTTCCACTTTAAGCGGTTGAGGTGTTTGGAAATACTTAACAACCGCATCAAAATTAGTTTCGTTATTCGGTGCTAGCCTTCGGCTCCAGCTTAACTGCGGCCTAAACTTTAACATCGACTTGGATTCCGCTCTTAAGTGAATTGATTTTTTCCGTGCGTGCGGTTTCTGCCGTGACGGAGTGCGTGTGGGAAAATGGCGGCCCGGAAATGCATAGACGATGGCCCTTGCGGCCTGGCAATTAGTGGGCTAAGATATATCTGATATCCAGACTGAACACGGATTCAAATCGAAACCCTATATGCCACACCATGGCACGCTACAAAAACCATGACACAAAGCCACTTGGCGGGCTGGCGGCATTTGGCGATCGCTAAAAGTCACATTGTTGACCTTTTTGCGGTCTTGGGGCCGCGACCAGAGAGCTCCATCTCCGTCTCCGGCAAGTGGAGAAAAGGTTTGTGCCTCTTTTGAAGTCCCTGCCTGAACACAAGCACGGCTCATTAAAATAATATTTAACCTTTGAAAAGACAAATACTTGATGAATAAGTATGTATGTTTGGGTATGCCGAAGATCTTTCAGTTTACGAGTATAACTTTTGTCTGTCGGCCTGTCCCATTTCGCATCCGTCGAGAGCCAACGAGCCATGAGCAATTAAAAATTAACTATTTAACGCCGACGCCGGCGTCGACCTCTCCTCCTAGCCAAGTCCCGCCCTCTGCCCCTGACGCCTATTACCAATTGAATTCCATGTTTAACGAGTTTTGACAGCCGCGTATTTGCTTCTTTTTCTCTATTTGCTTATTTGCAATGGCATGCAATTGTGCGGGCACTGTCTAAAGACGGGTAATCCGCAGATGGTAAAGGGTAGTATTTTTAAAATATTTATTTTTTATCTTAAAGGTCAAAGCTACCTTAAATAAATAATTTTAAAATATTACTACTCTACATTTGATAGAATCCTTTCATTAAATACTTTTAAGACTTTTAAAGAATTTTATAGGTTCTTATCATCTTTTATTAAATGGGTTTCTGAGAACCTTTAAGATCTACTTAAAGAAAGAGTATTAGATATTCCTGCTTGGCTTTGGACTGCGTGACTATTGCTCTCTTGTCTCAACTGATATTCATCCGGCAGCCACTGCGTCGTCCGATGCTGAACCTGACCTATGCGCGCCGCCGCGTTCACACGCTGAGCGGACTGCGCTTTGCCTCGAGGGGTGCGTACAGCAGCAGCCACAGCCCTGACATCAAATTTCTGCTGCCACCCACACCTATTGCAGATTGATCATCTACAAGGCTTTGAAGAGAAATTCAAGTACAGGAAAAGTTACTAAGTTACTAATTTAATCACACAATGTTTTGTTTCTATCAAACAGACCGATCAAAATTCATTGAAAAATATCAAATCCCATCTGCCTAGTCCTTTGGCTATCCCACAACCCACCGAAGATGCTGGCCCGAATTATCTTCACATATATTTTGTGCGCTGCTATCTACAGCTTGAATATGTTCGATGACGCAAAAAAGAAAAAGACTCCGGACTTAAACGATGATGCGTACTACCACATAAAGCCCAAGTAATCCAAATAAACCGCAAAGACCGTTAAACTTGATCAAAAAATAAAGGTTTTAATAGGTAGAGCTAAGTGGCATACATTATTTTTGGTTGCGGTTCGATTAAGACTGCTTCTCCTTCCGCCTAGCTTGCAGCACACTGCGAAGCATGTTGAAGGAACTCAGCACCGGCACCATAATGGGCAGGAAGAGTGGAATGTAGATCGCATACTTCTGTTCGTCGGGGAAGTACAACTGGGCCAACAGACTCGGGTCGAAGAAGCCCCGCTCCGAGGCCACAAAGGCGCGCTTGGCCAGCGCCGAGGCGTCGGCCAGTCGGTTCTCCAGCAGGGCGGCCTTCGCGGCCAGAATATCGGCGTAGGATTTCGTAATGGCGGCACCCACTTCATCGTCTATCACAATATAGCTGATTTGATCTAAACACGAGGAGGAAGCAAATATTTGTTAAGTTGATCCAATTATGGTGGCTTTAAGGTAAAGTCATAATAATTTAATTGCTTAAAAAATAAAACTTAATGAATCTATTGTAATATTTTTGGAAGCAACGGCTATGGCTTTATAAATTATACGATTTGGCCATGAAAATCTTTTTGAAAATGAACCATTTTTAAGCGGAAAGGGACAGCAGACGGAACAAATAAATATATTTTGTAGCATCAGTTAATAGTTTCTATTTAAATTCTAGAATAAATTATTAATGTTCTGCTTACCCAACAACTTAATGAGGCTTTGAAGGGTGTTACTGGCGGTAGATAAATGACGAATAGCAGTGCGTCGCAAATAGGCCTCATACTCCCAGCGCCGCGGTTCCAGCTGCTCAATGTCCACCACCTTGACACCGTCCATTTGCAGTTCGCTACTGATGTCGAGCAGTTTGTGCAGCTGATCCAGCATTATCTGCATGTTGTCCGTGGTGCTAACATAGTAGGGCACCGGTTCCTGATCATTGAGCGCAGCCAGACACACGTGCTCTGGCGGATTTGCGATGATGAACGCTCCCCAAGGAGGCGAAATGAAGGCATCCACTCCATTCCGTGTTAGCTTCTGATTCGTGCTACTGTAAATGTGCAATGGAGCTGTGTGGCAGGGTGGAATGTAGACCACCAGATTGATGGCTGGCTTATCGGTGGTACTGGCACTCAGGTTCTGGGCAACCGAGGTGAGCAGGTGAGGCAGGGCCGACTCCTGCAGAGCATAGTGTCGACCCAGACGGCTCTGGTCGCGCACCTGTTTCAGGTCAGCTTCAATGGACACACGGTACTTCCACTGTGTTCGAACCGTATAGTTCGACACGCCGGACACCTGTGCCAGCCAGGGCTCAATGTAGGCTGCAAAGAGATAAGTAATATTACTAAAACAAACCTAATGAAAAATACTTCTAAAGCTTACTCCTCACGGCCATTGCAATATTCCACTGAGCATGGGTCTGACGAGGCTTTGGATTCAGCACAGATACAATCACATCATAAGCTGGCTGTGGAGCCTCTGACTTGGTGCCCATTCGCTCATCTGTACTTAATATTTGGTTGATACGATATGTTTGGAGGATCTTGGAGTGCAAAAGTTGGGCAATCTTATTAGCAGCTAAAAGTATTTGAAAATTTGGATTGGGATTTTAAAATTGTGAGTTTCACAATAAACCTACAAGTATCTCCTCGCATCAAAGCTGAACGTTCCGTTGTGAGCAGCAGCTCCTCTTGTAGATTGGGCCACTCTATTAACATAAAGTCTCCCAGATTCTGGGGATGCTCTTTCAAAAGAAGTTTCTCCAAAACCGCAGGAGTGTGAGCTTCCAGGATCTTTTCCGTTGCATTTAATTGTTTAAATCTCAAAGTCCAAATTTCTGAAATAGGTTTGGCTTTAAAATCTCCCACTAACTTTTAAGGCCTTTAAGAATCACCTACCGCTGTCGCTAAAAGCGCTTTCCAGTTCACCGATGAGCAACTGGCCTCGGCTGAGTTCTTTTGTGTAGATGGCCACCTGCACGGTTGTTTTGATAGGCGTTTCACTGAGGCTCAGAATATCTGAAGAAGGTAAATTGACTCTGCAAGTAAAATAATTATAGATTAATCGGTAAACGCCCCCAGGCATGAGGTTGACTCACCTGTATACGGTAGTGGTATGCCACCACATGGGTACGCCTATTCCAATGATGACCACTATGAAGGCAATTGTTGCCCAGATTCGAAACTTGTCTGAAAAATGCAAGAAATTTATTCAAATAAGTTTTTCAAGCTCCAAAAGGATCTGGTCCTTGTTCTAAATAACTAAACCGAACATAAAATAACGCCATCTGATTTTTTTTTTATGATTTTATTCGGTAAAATAGTTTCTGTACAATAGAACGGTATGCATGTAAATGTAGCTCATTGTGCGCATTATATGGGAGCCACAAGCTACTCCTTGTAACTGCAGGATATAACAAAAACAGGCCCCTTTTCCAAGGGCGTATTACACGAAACGTATTTGGTAAACTTAGTAGTTCCCTCGCACCGGTACACTATATTCAAAGCGTTGTCCACCGGGGTGATGGTAAGTAGCACAGACTCGTCCTCCTCATCCTCGCCTTCAGATTCCATTCGCCTGCTCGCCCCAGGTGCCTTCTCCTCAGGAAGTTCCGAGTCCGGCGAAAGATATGTAATTACAGCTGCCCCGTCTGCCGCGTTCAGATAGTATACGAGGTCCAGAGTATTTTCTTCGCTCACCAGTCCGTCGCCTAAAACAGTGTAATTGCCATGCGACCAGCGTTGAATTTCTACGCTGCAGGTGGGTTGATCGGCATCTGACCCGGCCAAATCCAGATCTGTGAAGTCGCGCAGAAGGTCAAACATGGCATGACTCCGGAACAGTTGCAGCAACTCCTGGATTGTGCCTTTGGCTGTGGATAAATCCAAAACTTCATAGTTGTGAGCGTTCGCTGGACCTTGTCGCCGCCACTTTAAAGTTTCCGAGGCCATTAACTGCGACCGAGCCATTTCAAACCTTTCTCGTTTGAAAAACTCGTACAGACATATCTCTGAATTCTCCTCTATCCGCTTTTGGATGCTTCGTCGTGTGGCACTCTTTAAATAAACATTGTTCAGAAGCAGGCCCAGCGGCGGCTGATTCACATTATCTGGCGGCAGGTAACGCTGGCGGGGAAACGCACGCAGGGAATCGGCTACGAAAGCTTCATTAGTCTCTCCATGGAACCAACCATTTATAGTGAGCCGAGGGTAGTCGAAGGTTGTCACCTCGCCCACTTGGTGAAACGATCGCGATCCTACCTTAAAGAAGGCAAACTGGTTGTCCTTTGGAGCAATCTTTCGCTGGACCGGAAACTGAGGAAAGCACTGCTCATCGCTGTTGAATACCTCCAGGCAACCTCCTTGCGCGTCCGTCCACTCTTCCGCTCCCTCCCACGGCGATAGATAGTATATAAAAGCCACTTGCCGGTCCTTAAGCAAGTCGTCGTGGACCAGCAGATAGTCACCACAAGTGTACATGCTGCAGGAGGCAGAAACGTAGTCCAACTTCAGGCCAGTAACCTTCTCCAGCCAAGGTCTCACCTGTTTGCGAAGCACTTGCAGAAAGTTTGTGAGCAGCCGGCAGTTGGGCATGTTGGAGAGGTCAGTGCTCTGGTAGAACTCATAGAGGTCCATCTGCTTCCTCGACCACTGCACTTTTTGTGTGATTTCGGCGACCAACGATTGGCTCTGGCCCTTGAGCAGCATCTCGGGCAGCAGGCATATCTGGAACGGATCCCCAAAAACTTGAGCACCCGTCTTTTCTTCCTTTGTCTCGCTCTTTTCGTTTGTCCAGGCAGTCTGTAGCCATTGCGTTGTTTCCTTCTGCTGATAGGTGTCGTTTAATCGGACTTCTTGTACAGCGTGTGGCTTTTCAAAGGTCTCGCTCAGGCGGAGTAGTTTCTTTTGCGGCTCGCCGCTGGCGTCCATATGCTCCACCGTCGCCGCCTGCGCATCGTCCTCTTCACGGGCATCTGCAAGATCAACACAGTGAATGGTATTGCATTAAGCGGGGCAAAATAAGGCATACCTTAAACGTTAATTTGGCTGTTCACGCCAACACCAACACATACACACGCGTTATCAAAAGGTACCAAGGGGGTAAAATGTGCCGGCACACCTCGCCTGGACAGTTTTCTTGCAACTCTGTCTTTCCACTTACCTTCGTCCTTGTCTTTTTGCCTCGGCTTAAATGGACTGGAGCTGGTGGTTTCCATGATTTATGGAATTGGATTTTCAGGGTAAAACTTGAAACTATGGCAAGGAAAATAAAAAATTTCGGCTTGTGCAGCTGGAGATGTGTAATAAGAAATATCGAATTCGCAATGTCAGTGATGGTAATTTAGCCTTTTTATCTAGCTATATGTAACAGGTCTTCGTGAGTAGCCAACCGTTATGATTAGCACGCGCTCATCTCTGGTCGATTTGTAACGAACACTTGCTAGACTCGCAACAATTCCAACACTGGTCTAGAATATAGATCGGCTCTCCACGTAAATAAAGTTATTGTCCGTAGAGCTTAAATGGTTACTTACCTCCTCGGTCTTTAAGTGCATCGTTTATGGCGTGAAATTCTCCAATCGGATGTGGAAACAGTCGGTAAATTGAAAAATATGCCAAAATCGTATATTTACAAGCTAGAAATTCCAATTGGAATGGCCAATGCCGTTCGATGACCTTGGAAGAGGCGGAGCACAAAACAAAAACCCACTTTTCGTGCGTGCCCTGGAATGCTTATAGATAGATAAGTGTAAATAAATATGAAATATGCGTGTGTGTGTTAGTGTATCGGTCAATCCGCAAGTTTCGTTTACAGTTAGGGCCACCAGCTGATTCCACCTGATTTTGGGGCTGGGGGGTGGGGCGGTTTCTGTTCTCGCGATGATCTCATTTCTTATTCACTGACATGTGCGCCTCTTTCGTTGCAGGTCTTTAGTGAGAAGGAGGAGCAATGGGAAAGGATCAGCAGCTGCTGGAGGCGTCGCGAGCAGGCGACATCAAGACAGTGGACAAGTTGCTTGAGCACTTCAGCAAGCGCCATGGACCGCTGTCGAGGTGAGTCATCGCTAGCACCTGTTGCTATACATTTTTATAACTTACTTTTCCTTTAAGCTTTCGACGCAGTCCCAGTATAAACTGCCAGGATATGAATGGCTACACGTCCCTCCATCATGCCTGCCTAAATGGTCACAGTAACATTGTCAGATTACTGATCTCCCACAACGCTCTGCTCGATGTACCCGACATACGGGGCTCCACGCCCCTATTTCTTGCCGCATGGGCTGGACACCAGGACATCGTGAAGATGTTGCTCATGAACAGTCCCTCTGGAGCGAATCCCAACGCACAGACCATCGAAAACGAAACGCCCCTACACTCGGGCGCCCAGCACGGTCACAATGCTGTCGTTGCCATTCTTCTGTCCTACGGCGCTGATCCCACCATTCGCAACAATAGCTTCCAAACGGCCCTGGATCTGGCCGCCCATTTTGGGCGACTGCAGGTGGTGCAGACTCTTTTGCGCGTTTATCCGGATCTTATTTTGCCGTACAAGCGGGCAGATAAGGATGACATTGATCAGCTTGTTTACTCGCCTACCAAGCACATATTTACCCACACTTGCCTGCATCTGGCCAGTCGCAACGGGCACAAGAAGGTGGTGGAAACTTTGTTGGCGGCGGGCGTGGATGTGAACATACTGACGAACGCGGGCAGCGCGCTCCACGAGGCTGCCCTCTGCGGCAAGAAGTCAGTAGTGGTCACCCTCCTAAAAGCCGGAATCTTTGTACACGCCACCGATGGAAACGGCCGAACCGCCCTGGATATACTGTCCGACTATCCTCCACACGTCACCTACGATATTGTGGGAGCAATCAATGGTGAGTTACTATGTAACAAAGTAAAATTTAACAATGAATAGTTTATAAGTGGGTCCCTTTCAGTTAGTCATTGTACCAAACACAGTTTTGTTTGAGGCGCTACAAGGCTAATAAAAACAAATTATTTTATTGCAGCCAATTAAATAATTTTGTAGTCGCTTCCCGATTTCAACTGTTTTCAAATGATAATAAATTTAAATTCCAAGACCACATTTAAACTCCCACAATCTTTCCCAGAGTTTACTCAAGCAGCAAGGGAACAGAAGAAGGCATGTGTCATTGAGAATGGTACACAGTCGCTTCCGAAGCGTCTCTATGAGAAGAACTCCCAGCGCCAGAAGCTGCCGGCCCGGCAGAGGAAGTAAGCTCAGAGAATCATACACATGAACCATGCACTGAGACACGCCCACACCCGCATCTTTTGCTGACCCCAATTAACTCAGCCCACAGCTCATGTCATTTGGAAAGCACACTCATCCCTTCTCTCCCACTCGCCCTTCGCACTTATACCCACTCTCATGTCCACGCCCACTTGCCCTAGCACTCATAAGAATAGATTCAGAATCGGTTGCGCGGCTCTTCAATTAACTGGTCTGGTACCGTTTGGTCTCTCTTCCATAACCACCCACTCACTCACTCGCGTCTCGTAGAAAGCAAGATCAAGCCAATGGACTTTCGCACTCTTTAAGCTCGCTGGACGTGTTTGCCAAGGCGCCGCCAAACTACTTGGAAATGAGGCCCATACTGCACCAGAAGTCCTACGGCGATGTGACGAATATCAGAGCGGAGGAAAGTGACTCCTGGGCCAGCTACAAGCCTGTTTACAAGCAACCCCATTTGCCCAGCTTTCGAACATTGGAAATGTCCAACGGATCGGTACCCTCGCAATCGTACGAGTTTATAAATCTTCTAAGGAACGGATCGACCAGCGATGACAACTCCGCCAGCACCACTAGCAACTGTACGTCAAAGTATATCCCCATTTCGAATTAGTCATTAAAGTAACATCTGGTTTTTTGTCCATTTCCAGCGGCATTGCGTCAGAATGCGGTGGCTTCGTATGTGGAGATGTCGCTGCCGCCTCCACCGATTCCAAAACCACGGACTCGAATTAATGGAGAGTACAATGACTATGCGAACCTGGTTCCTATAGAAGAGGACAGCTCAGTACCAACAGCGGTTGACAAAAATAATAACAACAACAGTCATAAACTGCGATCGGTTCGTCATTCACCAACGCCGGATTATCCTCCACCCACTGTCACTGAAGCCGAGCACACGATTTTCAACTTTATGCAGCCAGTTACTATGCGCAAAAGTAGTATGCTGGAGCCGGAAGCCTCTCCGCGGGCAGCCAACTCCGTAAGCTCTGACCACGTAGAAGAGTTTGTCGGGGATATGCCATTCGCTGGACTTTTCAAGGGATCTACTCTAAATTTAGCAGCCGATGTGACGGATGGAAGGGAGCCTAGCTCTGGACCGGTGGAACGGAGCTATTTGCGCTCGCCTAGCATGGTGAGATCAGCCCATGCTCTGAACAATCGACGCAGTTTGTCCCGGCAACGATACTCTGCCCTGGGCGAGGATTTTAGTGCATCGCGTGTTTGGGCCGAGATTGACACCATATTTGAGAACATCGGAAACGAAGTCTCTACAGTGGAACAAGAAACAGAAGCTCAGTTAGCCGAGCCCCAAAATCTTCCTACCGGCGATTCGCTGCACATACGAGATCCTGCAGAACTGCTACTCGGCAAGAAGGATAGCTCGACATCTAACTGGTGTCACTCGCCGTACACTTTAATCTATGGCGAAATAAGATACTCCCTCTATGTAAGTATAATTAAGATTAATTAATCAATCAACATGTTAATCAATTCCAAATATTTTACAGTATCTGGGCTCGACTGTAATACGGCGGCTTCAGGGAACTTTGTCCACGCGCAAGTCCATCCAGAAACTGAAGATCGAGGAGAACCTCAAGTCGGCGGCGAGTGTCAGTGACATAAGTCTCTTGGAAAACTGCACCACATCAACCAAATACCTGAAGGCGGCTAATTTACAGACCCGTCTCAATGTGGATATTGCCGTTTCCTGTGTCGGCGTAAAGTTTATAGATCACGAAAAGAAGGTAAATTTATTATACGATTACGACTGTTTCTGTATCTAATATTCGTTATATTTTAGACTGCCATTTGTTGCCACGATATTGAGAACATTAATTGCGTTTGCCAGGATACGGAAGATCTGCGGTACTTTGCATACATTACCAAAGAACAGGACCTGCACTATTGTCATGTCTTTATGGTCGATAGTTTGGTTAGTAAACTTAAATATTGTGAAATAAAGCGCCTACTAAACTATTTTATTTATTCACAGGAGCTAGCTAAGGAAATTATTCTGACTCTTGGACAGGCCTTTGAGGTTGCTTACCAATTGGCCCTCAGTCGACGGGGTACGCCAATTACTGAGGAGTGCTAAATATGCCATTTAAGTGCCACAAATTATGCACAACGGTGTAAATTATTTATTTTATTGCATTTTATTTGCTAGTCGTTGATGCCATCTCAATGCTGGTTTTGCTTCAGCTAACATGTTAAAGTATTTTTGAGTGTTTTTCAATAAAATTATTGATACAGATTTATTTTTTGTGTTTTCTTATTTATTTAAATAGTTTTCTGTATTTATTTGTCAAACTAAAAATTTCAAATTTAACGAAACTCCCCGAAATATCGATTTTAAAAAAGAACTATCGATAAGTCGACATTATATCGATAAGGCCGCAATACATTCTGGGCAAACTTCAAATAAAACCGTACATTGGAATTTTCTTGTTTGTTGCATCGGCATTTTTTAACAAAAAATAATCATTTTAAAAGCGAATGGAGTCGCCTGCAGGTAGTTAATAAGCGAAATAATAGAATAACTGATAAATAACTAGAAAATTATTATAGAAACACCCATAAACGATGATGGCGTCGTCGCGCCGCCGCAGGATGAAAATAAAGACGCCACCAATTTCAATTTGAAAACTGATGAGGCAGGCACTCCAGTGGCCCGGAAAACTCGCGGTGCTCTTCGCCATAAGATGGATGCTACTGCAGAAAAGGTATCGCCACCGAATGCTGGTAAGACCACTGAACTACCACCGAAGACCCCGGGAACTCCTAGTTCGCGCTTGGTGCTAAGCAGTGAGACGCCGAGACGCAGTTGCCGCAAAAGTGTTCGCCCAGCAATCGACTATGACGACATTGTTCGATCTGCCAAGAAATTGGTGCCCGAGGAGCATCCGGATGCTGAAGATGATGAAGAGTCCACGGCACAAAAGTGGAATGCAGCCGAAGTTGGTCGCAGCAACTCACGTAAACGTAACCGTAAGTCAAAACGGGCAGCTAAGAAAAAACAAAAAACCGGAGACGTAGAAACAGGAATACCAGAGGGTGCAGGAGATGAGGAGCAGTTGGAAAAACAAGAGGAGCCTGAGCACCAAGAAGATAACAAGGAGCTGGAGTGCCAAAAGGAAAACAAGGAGGAGCTAGAGCACCTAGAGGAAAAGGAACAGGAGGTGGAGCACCAAGAGGAGAATAAAGAAGAGTTTAAGCAACAAGATGAGGAGAAAGATGAGCTGGAGCGCCAAGAAGAAAAGAAAGAGGAGGTAGAGAACCAAGAGAATGAGTCGAGCCAAAATGTGGTTGCTTCGAAAAGCACTCCTAAAAATGATCAGATAGGCGTGAGCCCATTAAGCCAGGTATGCAGTGAGGAACCAGGAAACGAAATCACACCTGAATCCTTCTGTAAAGTAACCGATGCTGATATAGATGAACTGGGCTTATGTCCACTTAGTCAAGAAAGCAATACAGATCTAACTGAAGATGTTAAAAATTTAAATAATGAAACCAAGAATTCGGATGGACTTGGTACTTGCTCGATGGAAGTTGATAATGAGGATTTAAAAGAAGTCGACAAAGAAAACGCAGAAGGAGTCAATACAACATATGAGAAATCTTTAGAAGATATGGAAGACATGCCTTCGTTGATCATGATCGATGATGAAGATTCGGTCGGGGCAGAAAATGTGCAACTTAATACAACTTTCGATGCAGATGATATAAAAGAGGATGAAAGTGTGATCCTTATTGAAGTTCCCGGTATCCAAACTACTTTGGAGAAGCCGTCGGTCAAAGTGGTTCTCACAACTGATGACAACAAACGTGAAACCCTTCTGAACATGGAAAACTCTTCACCCACTGTATCGACTTTCACCAAAAGGGTTTCTAAGGGATATCGTTTCCCAACTCCATTTAAGAACAAGACATCTTTCAAATTCTCCGACGAACATAAAACTTCTTTCGATGATGGTTTCTTTAAAAAGTGTTCAAGCCAGATGCTTGATATGCCACTTAATACAACTTTCGATGCAGATGATATAAAAGAGGATGAAAGTGTGATCCTTATTGAAGTTCCCGGTATCCAAACTACTTTGGAGAAGCCGTCGGTCAAAGTGGTTCTCACAACTGATGACAACAAACGTGAAACCCTTCTGAACATGGAAAACTCTTCACCCACTGTATCGACTTTCACCAAAAGGGTTTCTAAGGGATATCGTTTCCCAACTCCATTTAAGAACAAGACATCTTTCAAATTCTCCGACGAACATAAAACTTCTTTCGATGATGGGTTCTTTAAAAAGTGTTCAAGCCAGATGCTTGATATGCCAGAACCCAAGCAAGGGCGACGACGTTCGAAATCGGCAAGCCATATGAATGATGTATTCTCTAAGACGGTCTCTTTCCAAAGTCCCATTGAGATTGCCAATGTGGAGGACATAGACAAGCGCTGGGAAGCACTCAACAAGAAGAGTGAGTTTTCGCATTTTAACTTTGTTCAGACATAATTACCCTGAGCTTACATAATTTTTCAGATATAACAAGCCGCCGTAAGCGATCAAAGTCCTTGGAAGAAAAACCCTCTAAATTTAGCCGAATTCCAAAACCAAGTAGGTTACATTCCAAATCAATATCTTTGCAGCAAACTCATGCTCTTCTCTTTTAGAAATCGTTACGATTGGAAAAGTGGTGACCCCCAGCAAGGTAAAACGTGCCAAACTACCGAATTTTGCGGCCATCCACGAAAAACAGTTCTCCAAGATGGAAAGCCTTGTGGACCACATCGAACGAAAAGCGGAGCGTGCCAAAGTTCTGACGAACTCGGCTCTTAAACAGGCAACGGCAACCAAGAAACATCAGGCCACTACCTCGAAGGTAGACAGTGTCATGCGTCCAAAAGCCCTCAAGAAAATTGATCTCTCTGCTAAAAGTGTTGCTGTGGAGGCTCCAAAACAAGTGTCAGTTGAGGCTGCTAAGGATAAGGTTCCACCTTCTCGCTTACCCCTGAAAAACGCCGCCAATGTGCCGTCAAGACCGGCGTTTAATTTGTCGACCTCAATTGTGACATCGTTTAATACCACCTTAAGTGGTAGGCCAGCGCAGGATAAGTTGGCTGAAAGAAAACAGAGGCACGTGGAAATGTTTAAGGGCAGGACCAAGGATAAGAGTAACAAAGGAGACTTGATCAAGGGAGTGCGTTCTAACCGCCGATTTGAACTGCAAATGCAGCATCGTCGCCACATCACAGAGGATTAGAATTTGTATCTTTAATCGTTTTTATCTATTATCTATTCCATATCGTTTGTCAGAGTTTGCGGTTTCCTTTGCGAAAAGAAGTTGCTCTTATTTTTTAAATCGAATAAATTTGTTTTATATATTCTTTTCTACTTGAAACAACTCTGTTTTTATTATTTATTTATTTTAATTAAGAGATATGTACATATCTCGGATCTACAGATGTACAAAAGTTTGAAAACGATAGTTTTTTCATCGTAACTAGCATCCGATAGTTACAGATCACTTTTCATCCTGGCATGTCAAAACAAAAGAACTGAGGAGGCTTCGCTTTTAGTTTCTGGCAAAAATATATTTGCTAGTCATTCGTACGAAGCCATCAAACCATTACACTTGACTCCCGAGTTCTTTTGTTCACCTTTAAAAATTTGTGTTGTTTTTTGAATTTATTTTGTAATAATTATTGAGAAAATACTTCGTTCCGGTTGGCATCCCTATCTGAATAACGGCGCTTGTAAAGTGTGTAAATAAGCTAACTTTTTGGTCAATTTACCAAAATGACTATTACTATTTCACAGGATTATTGATGGCTTCCAAAGTGGGTGATACTGTCCCTAAAGAGACACAGCCATGGCAGCTCCCCAGAACGGCGTATGGAAACGGCATACCGGCACTGTGCCTGTTACACCAGGAAATTGAAAAGTTTTTCAATTATATGCAGTCAACACCTATTGAGTTTTTTCTGCGAGCGGAGGCCGTTCGCCGCATCGAGGACGTTGTGCTGTCTATCTGGCCCACCTCCTGCGTAGATGTCTTTGGATCCTTTCGCACTGGACTGAATCTCCCTGTCTCGGATATTGATCTGGTAGTGTTTCATGCTAACCACTGGCACAAGGCACCACTGCACGAACTTAAGCGGGAATTGATAGCACGCGAAGTGGCGGAACCCGGTTCAATCATCGTTCTGGACAAGGCTTCTATGCCGGTGGTCAAATTCACAGAGGCCATATCCCAGATCAAGTTCGATGTGAATTTCAATGCGGCCGCATCGGGCGTACAAGCAGCAGAGCTGATCAGGGAATACATCCGCCAGTTTCCTGACTTACCCAAGTTGGTGTTGGTGCTCAAGCAGTTTCTAACGATCCACGGCATGAACGTGGTCTACAGCACGGGCGGAGTCTCCTCCTACGCTCTGACTCTTATGTGCATTAGTTTCCTGAAGAAGCAGGAGCGTTGTAAAAATAACTACAATAGCCGCAACAAGCTGGGGTTGCTCCTGCTCCAGTTCTTGGATTACTACGGTCGCAAATTCGACTTCTTCAAGTACGGCATCTCAGTACTTGCCGAAGATGGATGTGTGGAGAAGGAGCGCCTGCGCTCCACACTCGGTGAAAATAACTGGCAGTCTGTGCTCAGTATTGAGGATCCAGTGACGCCAACGAACGATATTGGACGCAGCTCTTACGCTGCCCTACAAGTAATGAAGGGATTCGAGGCAGCCTATCTTAAGCTGTCCAAGCTCGTCGACTTAGATGCCTCGAAGATTGTGGGCCCAATTCTAGGTAGCATTATAGAAGTTCCTCAGTCTGTGATCAACTACCGGACCTGGGTGCAGTACAACTTTCAACATCTGTTGCCCAATTCTTCCTCATCTGCCTCTGAGGACGAGCGATCGGAGGGTCCACCACCAGTGTATTTCCGGGCTGGGGTGCATCGGACTTCGACTTAGTTTAAACGTTTGCGAGTCATAAGTTTTATTAAGTATGTTTACGTTTGTGCTAGTTTCCTTCATTATCTTTATTTGCTTTTTCTTATGCATGGCATATGTATAAATCATAAAATATGTACAATTTGTGGGAAAAATTATGTCTTGATTTATTGGCATATTTATTAGGTAAGCACTACAAAAATTAAATATAAAAATTAAAAATATTTTTAAATTGGAATAAACTTGGCGCCTTTTTCAACGTCGTGCGTGACTAACAGGGATTGGCATTTTTCACAAAAATCTAGGCGGTCACATTAATCAGCTTTGTTGTTGTTTTTGTCAGCGTGTTGTGTAAATCCTTCAAAACTGCCTGCAAAATCCGGGGAACGCTCTCCAGGATTGTACATATCTAGTTCTAAGCCTTCTATTGAGTTATGCTTAACCTACTCCGTCGTCGCCCGGCGCCAGTGCCGCTCCTGCACTCCGCCTTCCGGGCCTCCCTCCACACAACCGAAAACCGGCCGGGTTACATAGTGCTGTGAGTCTGAAAATCCTCTTCAAAATATTCTTATTCGCTTATTGGTGATTTTTTCAGGGTTCCAGAGATTGGAGAGGAGGGTCCTCTGGGCGAGGGTGTACTTAAGCCGGACGGACTGCCGGCTTTTAGTGACATCACCATCGAGATGTGCTTGGGCGCCATCGGACAGCAGGCATCGGCGGTGGAGAAGTCGGTGAAGGCGCTCGAGGGTGCTATTCATAAGGGCAAGCCTCTGGACGCCGCTGGCATCTTTAGCGAACTGGATATCGTCACTGCTCCGCTAGAGACAACCTGGGGTGTGGCCAAGGCGTTGTACCTTGGAAACTCTACCTTAATACCCACCAAATCCTACATGAACATCCACGAGCGAGCCCGAAATGCCCGGGCATCCAAGTTCTGTAACCCGACAGTATTTAAGTCACTACAAGAGGGATTGCCGGAGACTAGTGGATCGGATGAACAACGGCTGCGCCAGAAGTTTCTGCTGGAGGGAAAACTGAATGGCCTTACTTTGGCTAAGGACAGGCGGGATGGTTTGAAGGAGCTTCTTATCCAGCTGGGGCGGGAGCGTGCCAGTTTTAAGAACAAAGTAAACATGGCGGTTCATTCCTTCGGTCATGTGATCCCTGATTTCAATCTGGTTAGGGATTTCCCGCCTGCTCTTCTGGAAGCGACGGCTCGTAACTCCCTCCAGCCCTTGGAGGGACCCTGGAAAATAACGCTGCACCCACAAATAGTGGATGGATTTCTTAAATACTGCCCGGAGCGTCTCCAGCGCTGGAATGTGTGGCGAGCCAATGTTTTGAAGGCCTCCTCTCAGCAGGACAAAGCGTTGGAGAATAGCACTCACCTCGAAAAGATCCGGGGCCTGCGAAAACGCCAGGCAAACCTCCTGGGATATTCCAACTTTGCAGAGATGTCCATGCAGACTAAAATGGTCGGCAGCGTGGATAACTTAAAGCAGATATTCACAAAGTTGCTGAAGTTCGCAGGTCCTGCCCAGAGTGTTGAGCTGGAGGAGCTGCAGAACTTTGCCTTGGACAGTGGATGCGATTATAAGTTAGATGTCTATGATGTCGCCTACTGGAGGCGCAAGCAGCTAGCGGCAGAGCACGGACTTTTGGAGGACAAGCTCCGTGAGTTCTTCCCTTTGCCCCGCGTTCTCTCAGGCTTGTTCAAGCTCAGCGAAGAGCTCTTTGGTATCCGAATAGTGGAGCATCCCAAAGCAGAAGTTTGGCATCCGGCAGTTAAGTTTTATGACGTCTTTGACTCGGATTCAGCAAACAGCTCGACGCCAGTAGGTGGCTTCTATGTTGACTGCTACTCTAAGGAGCACAAATTCGGCAAGAACAACGGTTGGATGGTGGGCATAAGAAATAGGAACAAATCTGCTGATCTGCAGCCGCTCTGCGCTCTGATCTTCAACTTTTCGGAACCAGTGGAGGGCAGGCCCCCGTTGCTTGGCTATGACGACCTACAGATGCTGTTCAAGACCTTCGGCAGCGGGCTGCAGCACTTACTGACACAAGCCGGGTACAGTGACTTGGCGGGACTGTCCAACATAGAATGGGATGCCTCCCAGGTGTCCGGCCATGTGATGAGCAATTTCCTGGACGACCCCACGGTTTTAAGAGGCATTTCTGGTCACTATAGCACTGAGGAGCCCCTGGAGGCGGGACTCTCGCAAAAGATACCCCTACTAAAGACCCAACTAGCTGGATACAATCTCTGCCAGGATCTGTACTTGGCCGACCTTGATTTGGAGCTCCATCGCTCCAGCGCCTTCTGGCTGGAAGTTGTGCGAAAGTTGTGGCCCGTTTACCAATGCATGCCGCTGGACAAAAAGGACGCCCACCCGTGCTCCTTGACTGACATATTTGCCGGCGACTGGGCTGCTGCTCAGTTCAGCCACCTGTACTCCCGCCTAATTGCTGCCGACATCTCCAGTAGCTTTGCGGAAGAGCGTAGCGGGAAGAACTGCGCAGGTGTAGGACGTCGCTACAAGCAAACCTTCCTCAGTTCGGGAGGATCCTTGCCCACAGCAGAGGTCTTCCGCCGATTCCAGGGTCGCGATCCTTCAGCGGAGGCTCTTCTGAAGTCTCTCAACCTATTTGTGCCCTCCCAGACCACAGACAGCAATTGAGGGTCACAGCCATGACCCATTACCAACGTTATCACATGCGTTTAGTTAGCTGATAAGTCTGATCGATAGGAACCAAGTGTGGGTTGGTTAAATTTGATAAAGAATCGTACGGAGAAAGTAATTATTATTCGCTTTTTTCGAAAATCTTTTATTTTTAATACTTTTCAAGTATGAATCCTAAAAGTTGATTCGCTAAATTTTAAATGATTATTTTGGATCTGAAAAATATTGTACTTAAGATTGTAAAATAAATTTTGTTAAAATTGTTAAAAATGAACAAAAATAGAGTTCAATAGATGAGAGATTACGTGACACGCCACGATTCTTTAGACGACCCACCCAACCACAACTCAACTGGCAGCCGGATTAAGTGATAAAGAATCGCTTGAGTCAGGCGGGCGTGGATCTTATCGGCAGGTGCAAGCGCCGCCACCACCTGGTAGTTAAAACACACACACCAACTGTTGCTTTATTTAAATAATACTTTAATAATAAATTGCATAAATTTATAACATTTAACATATTCTCCCGCTCTTTTCTCGGCCCTCGGTAGCTGTCTGTCCCCCGAATCCGTTCGATATATTTATATATATACACAACAAAAGGCGAAACATAGATTTTGCATAAAGGACTAAATACCTCTAGTCTTTCGATTTGGAAAAGCGATCGGGAATGGGGTAACCAAAAGTCATAACATAACTGAACGACGAATTTAGGGTTTAGTTTCGATGCAAAGACGCGACTCAAACTCGGTTAGTTTACAGGAATTAATTTATATATATATATGCACTAGATCGAAATGTGTACTACTATATATGCGTATGTGCTGCTCCGCTTGATATTTCCGGAGTGGTGTGTGTGGGTGTGGTTTGGTGATGTGGAGGCTGCATATTTGAAATCTTTTAGAATATTCGCTAAGGCTTCTCTGTGGTGGCGTGGCGGTGGTGTACCATTGATAGTCACGACAAACCCCCTCAGTAAATGTCCGGGCAACCGTCCCACCGCTGCGCTTCCTTCGCCTCCCAGTAGGTGTTCTTGAACACATGCACATAGTTATCGGTGCCCGCCTCATTTTCACGCTTGAACCACATGGGCTCGTAGGCAGGATATGGTGTGCCCTCCTCCGCCGCCTTTTCCGCTTCAGCCTCTCGCTCCCGGCGCTTTGTTCGCTGTTTCTCTTCGAGGCGTAGCTTCTCCTTGTTCGATTCATCCCAGTCGCCCGTCTCCATCAGCCGCTGGTCGGGCCGGCGACGACAGTCCGTTGGCGCCACACCCTCCTCCGGTTCGTTGAGTTGGCAAGCCAGCGTTGTAAAGTTATAGTACTTATCCGAGTCCGCCGGAGCTGGGCGACGGCGCCACGCCAGCTTGTAGTCGCCTGTGGTGTGTGTCGGACTATTGGCAGGGCCTGTCGTCTTCAGCACTGGAGCTATTTCTATCTTGTTGTCCCAGGTTCCGCGCACCACCCACTTGACTTCCCCGTTTTTGTTCATGACCACACCCTTCACGCTCCGCTGGACATCACGGCTAAAGTAGGAGTAGGGCACAAAGTTCAGGACGCATTTGTAGCCTTCGGCCGCCTGTGATCCTTGGATCTCCATCTCGCCGTGCTGGTCTACCCACAACTTTCCCACAATAATGTTGTTCACAGTGGTGGTGATCTTGCGCCAAGAGTAGCGTCGTCCACTGTTCGTAAACATCACATAGACACCTCCTAGTGGATTAATCTGCACAGGGAAGCAAAGCCAATTAGTCAAAGATCTAAAGATTTTAAATATTTCAAAAATAAAACACTCACCTGGACGTATTTTCCGCGGAACTTGCTGGTCATCGAAAACTCCTGCCAGCTGACCCAGTTTTTGCTCTCGCAGTGGAGAGCCGCTATCGGAGGATGATGGGAGACCTGTTCCGCCAGGCAACGCCACCCGTAGTCGTCCATCCGGTCACACTCGTAAGTCTCTCCCAGCAGCGGGTTGAACGGTTTGCCGATTCGGTTCGTGGTCGTTGCATAGGCGGAAACAATGAAGGCGGCCAGATAGGCAAGCTGTTCGCATTCATCCTCACACTTCGAGGCGTGATCCAAGATCTCCGAGTACTCGTAGTCCTCCACCAGACGCTGCAGCATGGACAGTGGCTCATTGAAGTTCACGGGCATAGGAATCTTGGACAAGTCCTTGCCGATGCAGTTCTTCATAATGCCCCACAAACTAAGGGGATAGTTGGGCTTGTCCGGTACTCGATCACGTCGCTTTTTAATCAGATCCGGATTCCAGTTGCGTCCGTAGATGGAATCGGTGCTCGACTTGCCTGCCACTGCCTTGTCCACGTCGTCGTCATCTCCCTGGCCCCCGGAGGTCACCCGCTCCCGAGTGGCACTCACCAGGCACACAGTCTGTTGCACTGTCTTCACGGTCCGCTTCTGCTCATCGCTCTCCGAGGAGCTGCCCTCCAGCAGTCCCTCGACCTGGTCCTCGCTGCTGCTTCGCCGCTTGTGCAGCTTCAGGATGAAGGTGCCGCGATCACGCTCGTCCAGCGGGGAACTGGGACCCACTGGACTGTAGCCTTGCTCCTCGGCGTCAAAGAATTCCATGTCATCGTCGGAAGTCACTACGGAGCCGGATGCACCGCCAGCGCCCAGGGACAAAGTGGTATTCGAGGGCACCATCGGCGGCACAGGCTTGTTCTGACGCACCAACACTGCGGCCTGCTCCATCTGTGACTGCTGTTTGGCCATTTGCTCCACGATTTCCTCCAGCCTCTGTCGCTGCTCGCGCTCATGATGCAGCATTTTGGACCATTTGTGGCCCTGCGCCTCTGCTGAATGCAGGTAGTCATTTCCGGCATTGATCATGGCGTTCGAAGTGATCCTGAAGAGCGTGGCCCGCTCGTTGACTATTTTGGTTCGGCTGGCCAGCGACTCCTCCTCATTCGTTTCCAAATCGTTCAAGGCACGCTGCAAAGCAGCTCCATGCTTGGTGATTAAGTCGTAGCAGGTGCGCATGTTTTCCAGCCGCTCAGTTAGATCACGCACCACAGAATTTATCTCCTGGCTGGGAACGACTTGAGCCGTCTCCGTCTCTTCCTCCTCCTCGCTTTCAATGGCTCGTATTGCCTTCGCCTTCGCGAGTTCCAAGGCGGTGACCCAAGACTGGCGCTCCACCTCAGTGCCGGCCTTGATGTGGAAAGTCTGGGTGCCACCGTTGGAGATAACAAAGGTGCACGAATCCACCGTGTGAATGAGGGCGCCATGGAGGGAGATTGTACCCCGACAGGTGTGATTTATCTCCGACTGGTTGCGGTAATAGCTGAGGACACCCTTGGACAGGACGAACCAGCGCCGCTGGTAGCCCTTGATGTAGTTTGTCCACTTCAGCAGCCAGCCCTTCATCTCCGGCAGACCCTTTTCGTCCGTCATGGCCACCGTCAGAGTCTCCGGAATCCGGCGATTTGTGCGAATAGCGCCACGTACAATGACTCGCAGCTCCGACTCGACTCGAAAATCGAATGCGTTCGGTTATTGGACGGTGATGGATTAGTTGCCAGTTACTAGCATCATATACGCTGCTATTTCACCCACACCAATCACGGTTCCCGGCCCGATCCAGAACCCTGGCCTTTCCCGTAGCTGTTACCCTGGTTTTCCGTCGACTTCGCGTCGCGTTCACTGCGAATTTCGTGTCGTTTCTAATTTTTCCGCAGAAAATAAAGAAACTGTGGAAGTAAAGTGCGCGTTTGTGTGCGTGTGTGTGCATGTGTGTTGGGGCTGTTGCCCTAGTGTGTGTGTGTCATTTGGCAATAAAGGCTGTCCACTTGCTGCAAGACTATCGGTAATCGATATCGCCCCCATTCTATCGAAAAAAAACTTGAATTTTAAAAAACATTTTCGAAAATTCATAATCATAAAACATATCATAAAAATTTATATCTCAGTGGTTTTTATTTATTTAAAATTAAAAATTAATATATATTTAAAAAATTGAAATTTGTGGATAAAATAATATTGGAAGATGGAAACCATATTTATTTTGTGTTAAAAAAGGTAAATATAATAAAATATTAAAAATGGTTTTATCTAAAATATGTTTAAAAAGTGCATAAAAGTGTATGGTTTAATGGAAAACCCCTGTTTTTTTGAAAGAACCGTTTTCAAATTAAGTTTTTCCAAAAACACATTTTTTAAACTTTAAAATTTAAAGTCTAACACAGCTTTCTTAACTAAAAGTTTTGCAAACAATATACTCTTATCAGCCGAAGGTAATAACCGGGTGTTTGTCACGGCCATTGCAAAACCCAGTACCCATTTTTAGGACTGTTTATTTAAAAGGTCTGGATCGCCAAGGGGCTGATTCATTTGGCAAATAGTAAAACCAGATTGCACTCGAAATTGGATTACAGTTTTTTTATTCATAAATACACCGTCTGATAAATAGCAAAAAATACATATGTTTTAGGTGGGTATGTTTTGGGGAATAGGGCTTCGGACCAGTTCTGATGTGGGCTGGACTCTCGTCAGTGTCCGATCCTCCTCAGTTCTTGCACTCCGACCAGGAGTAGTGGAAGGAACGGATTAGGCTGATCAGGCTGCGAATAGCAAATACGCAAAAATCTGGTAAAATGGCAGGCAGTTTTGGCAGTTCTCTGGGACAGGTCACGGGTCATGGATGATATGAAGGGACGGGGATGGGACACAACGAAACAGACACAACTGCGACAATCACCACACAATGACGTATATACAATAAATCGTTTATTCGTAGGCAGTTCTTGCATAATATAAAATAAATATGTATACAGTTACAAGTAATTTAAAAGTACAAATACAGTTTCTTTTCCATAGGTTGTTTTTGCTTTGTTTTCATATCATCATGTCTAATATTTTTGTTTGTAGTTCTTTTCACATATTACAGACACAGGATCGCGTTAATGGACGCCCTATACAACAACAACAACAAGAAACATAAGGCATAAGGGGGTGGGGCGGGGCTGTATGTGGGCTGTGGTCTGTGGTGGGAGGTGGTGGTGTTGGACATTGGATTGTTGGACAAAAAAACACAAACAAATGGGCGAAAGCTGGAAAACATATAAATACGTAAAGCGAGGGCGGTTGGATGGAGCGATCTTATGAATTGCACGTTGAAAGTTGCATGTATCAGGCAGATAAGCAGATGTTGGAGCTTTACATGGTGTTGTAGGCGGCCGTGTTAAAGCCCGTTTTGGGAGCACTTAGCCTGCTCAGAGGATGCGTCTTTCCGTGCTGTGCCAGCCGTCGAATTTGCACCTGTTGCTCCGGCTGTTGCTGCTGCGTCTGGTGGTGTGGATGATGTGGCATACTGCTGCGTACGGGTGCGGGTGGCGGGCGACTGTCACTGTAATCGTGCGTGGATCGGTTAGACAGCGAGCGGTCGTAGTAGGAGCGCGGTCGTTGCTTGAAGCTAGTGGTGGTTGTCGTGGTGGTGCTGCTGCCGGTGCTGGAGTTGTTCACGTTGATGTTGCTGGCGGCGGTGGTTGCGAGCGGCAGTGTGGTGTTGGCCTGGCTACTGCAGGAAGTAGTAGTTTGATATTTATGCACTAGACCTTTTACATTACGATCACAATTTTCGCTTACGCTGGAATCGGATGAGTTGGAGTTCGAGGCGGTGGACACATGATTGGCATGCTGTGCTACCGGCGACGAGGGCAGTGATTGGTGGCTGGATGACTTTTTACACGGATTTGGATTGACGGATCCACCACTCGTCCCAACCCCCGTCGCCGCAGCACTGCTACCCGATCCGGATACGGATCCAACAACGGTTCCGGTTCCGTTTCCACCACCCCCACCTCCACCAACGCTCCCTACCACACCCGCTTTGGCTTCAAAGTTCTGCTTGAGTATTTGCACGTTGCCCGAAATACGCTGGTCTTCGGCCAGCGATGGATTCTGGGCCTGCCGCAGCTCCACCACGTCCGCCTGGTCTCCGTGGGTGGTGTTCTTGTTTTCAATGTCGCTGGTGTGCATCAGTTCCTCGCTGTTGCAGCGCAGTGGTTGCCTTTGCCGTGGGCTGTGCGCCGAGGAGGTGCTCCTTTGTAAGCTTGGGCTCCTTTTTTGTCCACCGCCGCTACTATCCACTGTCTCGAGGAGCTGCTGCTCCTGACTGTTGTCCTCCTGACAGCGCTTTTTCAACGACGCCTTATTTTCCTCTAGTTTCTGCTTAGTGCGCTTTACGGTGCCCTCGCCAACACCAACGACTTCTCCTTCGCTTATGTTGCAGTTACTGCTGCGCTTAAGATCCTGGATCTGGCCCTCGACAATGGCCGTTGTCGTGGCATTGCGATTGCTGTCGTAGTAGGAACACGAGCTGGTCCTTAAATTCAGACTGCTTCGGTTGTCCCCTGATCCCCAGCTGGCATGCCGCGAAGGCAGTTCTCTTTGGCGCGGTCCGCGTGGCCGCAGCACGATAGATCCCGAGCTGGACTGCTGCTGCTGGTCCAGAACGATACCCCCACTGGGTCCGAAAGACTCCGTCCAGGACTGTGTTTTGCGGCGCTGCCGCTTTTCGCGCTCCTCTCGGGCAAACACACTGTCCACCTGCGAGGAAAACACATCCGATGACCCGGAGTCGCGACGCGACGTTCCTCCCAGATGCGAAGTTTGAGTGATCAGCTTGCTTAGGGCAGTCCAAACGGGCTGTTGGGACTGATGGCTCTGTGAAGGCGGTGGCAGTTGGTCCGCTCGGTGCGCCTCGAGATCGTGAACCCGCGTACGCACAGACAGAGGCGTGTGCTTCTGGATGTGCAGCACCTGATTCTGAGTGACGCTGTAGTTCTCGCCATTGCTGCCTGGGAATCGCATGTTTTTCGGTTCCTCGGCCACGCTGCGCTCTGGCGTCAAGTTCTCCATGGACTGACTTTGTTGCTTAGTGACTACAGCAGTCTGGGTTTTCGGCGATGTGCTACTTGAACGTCGAACCATGCGTCGCTGGGATTTTTGGGCGGTAGAGCGTCGATGCAGCCGCTTGTCCGGCTCCTGCTCGCCATCCGGAGTGACACCTGCCGTCTCCCCAGTGGACTTTGACTTGGCCTGGTTGAGAGCCTGGATGAGAGGCGTGGGCTCACTTCCAGGCAGCAGACGTGCGTCTTTTGTGCTCTTCAAGTTGGTCTCGCTCTTGCTGCGCTGCAACTTCTCCTTGTTTTTCATGGCGTCCAGCATTCCGTTGTACGTCTCCAGCTGGGTAAGGAAGTTCTTGTTCGGCTTTATGCAGCTTCGGCGCTTCTTTACATGCTCCAATGCCTGCTGGAACTCCCACTGGTAGGCTTTCATTGCATACGCAATCACAACGGAAGCAGATCGGCTAACGCCCATCTTGCAATGCACCAGAACCTTCGATCCCTCGGCCTTGGCCCGGGAAATGTATCGATACGTACTATCCCAGTGTTTCAAGAGATTGGTCTTCTCATCGTCATAGACACGCACATTAAAGTACTCGAAGGTGCCCGGAAAGAAGTTGTCGATTTCCCGTGTCACATTGAGAATATGGCGAACGCTGAAAGTCATAAATATATATATAGTATTATGTGATTTAAGAATTATTATTACATACCCATTCTTTTGCAGTTCTTCCAAGTTACTGGCATTCCATTCCGAGCCCAAGTATACGTGCTCGAATATTTCGGTTGGCGCATCCATCTGACCAAGTATAAGAAGCATTTCCTCGTCAATGAATGACTTGTACTCGGCCAGGTCCATGTCTAGAATCTCTTCTAGCCTGCCGCGTATGTACTTGGAGGTAACCTCGTCCAAATCCACTGACATCATGATGGCCTTCAGCTTAATCTTAATGACACTCTCGGTTTCCTCTTTCTTCGTGGGTCTGCAAAATGACAAAATCGAAGTTTAAACAAAATAATCTCTTTAAAATTAGACTGCTTACTTGTTTCGTATGGCATCGGGCGAGGGGGGACGTCGGCTCTCGAGTGCATCCATGGCATTCCATTCGTTCAGACAGGATTGGTCAGACTCGATGCGGCTCTCGTAGCTGGACAGCCAGTCGTGTGAGGGACCGCTGGCATAGAAGTTGTTTTCACGAGCCTTGTTCGACACTTTGTGCAGTGTCTGAAGCGCGGACCTAAAAGAAAAATCCAATTTTAGAAGAAAGTTTAAGATATCCGGTGCTTTCAAGAAACCTACCACATGGCCTGTACTGAAACGGGCTTGAATATGTGCGTCTTCTCGAAGACTTTGACACTAAAGCCACTGCAATTGGAAGATACGGGAGTTTTAATATATTTAAAGATCATAATTCAATGCAACTCTTACCCATCACCGTCCAGGTGAATGGAGGTGTCTGCCAAAATGGGCACCACCAGGCCGATCGTGGTCCGCTCGTTGCAATCAATGCCCAGAAGACAGGACTCCTCCATGCCCGAGGTATTCTTGTTATCGCCGGCCGCTGTGGCATTCTCTTTGTCCGCTGACTTATCACATTTACTAGCTGGTGTGCTTGTCACCGCTCCGCTGGCCGCATGATCCTCGGACATCTGCCGTTGCGTAGTGGCGCCGCCCGACCCGCTGCCCGAGGATCCACTAACCTTTGCCGAGTTGTGGCGCATGATCCGATGGCGGCGATGTTCGCTGGTCGAAGAGCGGCAACAGCTGCGGGAAGCGATCACAAGGTATCGGGTGCGGTTGGACCGTTGTGACTCCAACTTAACGGCCTGAGGATCAACGAAAGACAATAAGTTCATGAATCTCTACATCCATAATTTGGAAACCAACCATCTTTAGGGTATCCTCGCGATGCAGCAGGAAGAACATGGACTGCAAATGGAGCTGAATGTCCGAGTTGTTACTCTGCGTGCTGTTGCTGGAACGGGTGGAGTCGGTGCTCAGCCGGCGCTCACTTTGGTCCTTTGGTGGGAGATCCAGGACCAGGGCAATGTCCCTGCCGGCGTCGATGCACTCACCCTGCTTGCTATTGCCCTCGTCGTCCTCGGCCTCGCCATCCTGCGTGCGGGAAAGCGGGAAAATATGTAAAATGAGCGACTTTGAGTTGGCAGCACCAATCCGCCCCCTTCCTACGACTCTTCGCTGTCATCCGGATGACTCACCCCCCGCGGTAAACAAAATATACCATAATGGGGCCAAACGCAAGATCTCATCATGAACGACTTCACAGAAAGGGACCAGTGGCCGGGAGATATTTGCTTGATTAATGCCTGATTATTTGATTATTGCCTGAATTAAAATTCCAAGGGCGGCACACACACACAAACACACACGTTCGTAAACATATGAGCATATGCAGACGTCAAGGTCTCGCGAACTATTTTTGGGGCGGTCGGGCGGCCGCCTAACGGAACACAACAGTTGAAGGAAAGAGAGGGTGCCAAGCGAAAAACAACGGAAAAACGACAAATAAGGCAATGCAAAAGTTTATTGAAAAATATAGACGTCGCGACGTCTGCGGCTGATTTGCTTGGGTTACACCAAAAGCAGCGACGATGACGCCCACGCCAGGCCGAAAACAGAAAAATCACACAGCACTCAGAAAACTCAAAAGCAACAACTGCGAAAATAAACATTTTTTTTGCAAGGGAATACACAAAGGATCATGACCGAACCAGGCGGAACACGCACGAAAACGGAAAGAGAGCTATACTCTAATTAGGGAGACCAAAACAAAGCACGCACGCGAAGAGGTGCTCACCGAATTCGAGCAGGAGCCAGCCACACTGGGAGAGCGCTGCACTGTCACCAGCGCCATTTGTTGTTGCTGCTCCCGCTCCTCCCTTTTTTCCGCCGCCGCCTCCTCCTCCTCCTGCTGCCGTTGCTGATGATGAAGCTGCTCCTGATCCTGGGTCTCCTGTTCTCCTGGCTGTTGCAGCCTGCGTCAGTTTCAATGTGTGCTTGCGCGACCCTGTGTGTGTGTGTGTCTTTGTGTACGAGCGTGTTTGAGGGCTACAAATGCATTTTCTTGTCGCTGCACTCGGCTCGTCGCTCCTTTCCTCCTTGCAGCTACCCGACAGTCACCGCGCTGGACGCTCTTGGCAGGCGGCTACTGCCGTTCTTTTTTATAACCGACGTGGCGAGGTTCGTGTACTTGGATCGAAACGTCACAAACGATTTTGCTAAATTTGTAAATACTTTTCACTATTATTTCCAACAATGCATGACGACGAAGATAGCTACAAACGATTTGGTCGGCGTTGCCAGAGTCGGCGGTAAAACATGGCGACCAATAAGTTTTTTGTGACCTATCGATATTTTCTTGATCTTTCTCCTTTGCCAAATAGAAGTTAATTGATTAAAGGAAATTTCTAAACGAATATTCCTACGACGATTTTAATTGACAAATTATGTTACTTTTTTTTAGTCCAGATAAATAAAAAATCAATTTGATAGTTTGCGGCGGGTTGGCAGCCCATATGCTGGATGGCAGCTGTAATCAGCTGTTGTAGGCCCCTTTTGGTGTTTTCTAACACCTTTCTGACTCCAAATTCGCAATGTCGTTTGTTTTGGAACGAGATCCCTGAAGGTCGCCCTAACCCGGACGAAGACGAAATGACTGCTATCATTGAGGAAAGCAAGGGGCTTCTGCCCCGCATCGCTTTGATAGCCTGTGGATGCTTTAGCCCGCCCACGCCAATGCATCTGCGAATGTTTGGTGAGTGCGAATAGCTGTTGTGAAATTCCCTCTTGGGCATAATCGATACTCATGACACAACGTGACACATTATTGCAGAAATAGCCAGGGATCACTTTGAGATGCAGAACACACACAAGGTAGTGGGCGGTATTATTTCTCCTACACATGATTCGTATGGAAAAAAAGACCTGGCCTCCTCGCTGGACCGCTGTGCAATGGTTAAGCTGGCCACGCAGAGCTCTTCCTGGATCCGGTTGTCCGACTGGGAGGTGCACCAGAGCCAGTGGATGAGGACGCATGCGGTTTTGCAGCACCATCAGAACTTCATTAATAATCACATAAACTGTGGAGGAGGAGATGGAAACGAAGAATCAAATGGCCACCTGCCTAATTGGTTGCCTCGCGGGCTCCAGACACGAAGAGATCCTGTTCAACTCAAGCTATTGTGTGGTGCTGATCTTCTAGAGTCCTTCGCAGTGCCGGGTCTCTGGGCAGATGCCGATGTAAGTCTAACAAAAGTGTATTCAGCTCAACTGTTGTCTCAATAATCTAATTCTTTTAGATTGAAGACATTGTGGCAAATCACGGCCTAGTTGTCATCACCCGTGCAGGCTCTAATCCAGGAAAATTTATCTTCGACTCTGACATATTGACAAAGTATCAGGTTAGTAGTATTAACTAATATAAAACCCTAGGAAAGTAAACTAAAAACATTATCTTTCAGAACAATATAACTTTAATCACAAACTGGGTGCCTAACGAAGTGAGCTCTACCTTGATTCGACGGCTTCTTGGACGCGGTCAGTCGGTAAAATATCTGCTGGACGATCTGGTTTTGGAGTATATCAAGCGACAGCGCTTGTTCAACATTAAATCGTAGGTGGAATTTTATTTACCCCATAACACTCTGCATGCATACTGACACTCCCTGTCCCGTATTCGATACGTACACTGAGAAAAGCCAGCTTCACATTTTTCACAGCCGACATCACCAAATTCTTAAATTGCACTAGCTGCTTCTTGTATTGCCTTCTTTTGTGTTTTGACCTATAGGCGGAGTGGCCCGCCCGAATGCGATTCCTGACGAACTTTGCACCCGAAAGAGAAGCTCACAAGATCCAGAAGTTGCCCGAGTTACCAGCACCGTTTTTCGCACCATCGTTCCTACCAGCACCTTCCGCTGTTTGAGCCGTGGCGCCTCTTTATGGAGTGTGAGCAGAGTTCATGTTCAAGTTCCTATTTGGAGAAGAAGCCTCCAATGCATGCTAATATTTTAATATTCCTCTGGACTTGCCCTTATGTATATAGTCTTGGTTAGTTGTATGTAGTTTTGATATTAACATGGTGGTCAGTGTGCGTATCATACAGATATATAAAAATATTCTGCACTATGTAATCCCATTAAACAATAACCATAATCTGTTGTTTTTGTACTGACCATGCCCACTTATCCTGTATGGATTTTAGTAAGTATATAACGGATGCAGTGCGTCCTACCCATTTGCTCTTTAATCACGCCTACACGGACAACAACAACAAGTTTGCGCACAGCTACCCGTTAGGCAACCAGTTGGAGCAAGATATGGACGAATCGGACAGCCCGAGCCCCAATCCTCAGACCTCGGCCACTTCCCGAGTCTTCTGCTGCGGGGAATCGACCCCTAGAGGCTCCAAGTTACTCCGTATTGGGCCCGGACAGGCAGTGCAGGTCATCACAATGCAGTCAGACGATAAGGAAGAAGTATGAATTACTATATCTTTTTAGGGTTTTCAAATATTTTCAAAACATTCCTTTTTCAGAGTCTGGCAAAGAAACAGAAAATTTCGCAGGTGCAGCTTTAAAAAGACAAAGGATTTAATCTGAAAAGGAACGATTCAGGAGCGCTGGAAGCTAATTGTTGATATTGTAGACACATAAATACAAAATAAAATATTTACGTTCTTAACACATGTAACTACTCCCCTTATTTTGTGGGTCATTCTCTGGACGAGGGGAAGGCATTGAACTTCAGGTAACGTGCATTGACATTGCAGACGTTGAAGGGCTTCTTCCCTTTTCCCTGATATCCAATGTCAGAACTTGTTGCCGCGTTGCAACGAAAGGCCACCATTAGTTCAGCCTTAGAGGAGCTTTAGTTGTTTCTTTAACTTGGTGGAGACCGGATCGCGAATGTTCTTCTTCCGCCGTCAGAATGCCAAGCCCGCGCCACGCCCATCCCGCGCTCCTTCATTTGCGCTGCCCAAACGCAGGCCTCCAGTTCAGCTGACTCCTTCGCATCAGCACGATCAGCTTCCTTTTCTTAGGAGGTCCAGGTTCAGTGCTTTGCCACATTTCCGCGCCTACGAGGATGAACCCGAGAATTTGTCGCTCTTCATTGCCATCCTGTACGTGGTGGACTTGTTCGGCATATTTCCTTTTGTGACGCTGCCTGCTCTGCTAGTTAAGCTCGGCTACTTCGGGGTGCTCCTGGTGCTCTCAATCATCTTCCTGCAGATATATACCTCGTTCCTCCTGTCCCAGTGCTGGACCATGGCGGAGTTGCTAGATCCCTCCATTCAGCAGAAGAGGAATTATCCGTATGCCGCCCTGGCGGAACTGGCCTATGGTCCGTATGTGAGTTTGCTCGTCTCGGTGCTTCTGGATCTCAGTATCTTTGCCATGGCGGTGCCCAGTGTGGTTATGGCTGCCGAGAACCTGGAGGCGGTGGTGCTGCGCATGAGTGGCGGTCAGTACAACTTCTCCTACTGCTACTGGGCCATCATAGTCGGACTGGTAATCTGTCCGCTCATGTGGCTGGGCAGTCCGAAGCATATGCGGTAAATACGGTTTAAGAGATCTTTATTTTTTGATCCTAAAGTCAAGCCTTTTATTCATATTATATGGTTTTCTATTTTTAAAGGAGTCTGGCCATCATTGCTGTGTGTGTGATGATAATCATTGTGGCACTGCTATGGTTCTGTCTTTTCGCCGCCCCTGCGATTGGAGCTCCTTTCGAAGGAATATCTTTGGGTAGGTTCCCCGGGATATATATTCTATATCCTTAAGTATTATATTAACTATTTCCACAGAGCTTCCTGGCTTTTTGACTGTGCTGAATAGCTATAGCATATTAGCCTTTCAGTTCGACATTCACCCGGTGCTGCTCACTCTACAAATCGATATGAAGCACAAGTCCCAAGTGTCCTGGGCTGCCCTCAGCGGTATATCCAGTAAGTGGTTATAATTTATCATTGGTTATATGTAGGATAATAATTGCCCTTGCTATCCGTAGTCACCTGCAGCGTGGCCATTATCGGATCTGTTATAGCGGCCTATAAATTTGGTTCGATGATAGCCAATAATTTGCTGCAAACGCTGCCCACCAGTGTGCCATTTTATGTGATGCTGATCCTCATGTCCTTGCAGCTTTGTTTCTCAGTGACAGTGGCCAGCTCAGCCATGTTTATGCAGATTGAGAACTACTTCAAGCTTCCAGAGTGTGAGTACTCGATTAGAAATATATATCTTTGAACTTACAAGCGAATCTAAACCACCTGCAGCACTTTCTTTCAAACGAATGCTGATCCGATCTTCCATCCTGGCCCTGGAGGTATTGATAGCTGAGTTTGTGCCCAGCTTTGATGCTCTAATGGACGTGGTTGGAGGCACCATAACAGGTCCTTTGGTGTTCATCTTACCGCCGCTTCTGTATCGACGCATTCGGCGGATGGAGCGAGTACATCAGCGCATTGCAGCAGAGGCTAGTTACGGAAGCCTGCCCCTGGACCTCAACTACGATCCCATCGAATTGGAAATGGAGCCGCTGCTGGTGTCGACACCGTCCTCTACTCCTCGAGGCTGCTGGCTGCGGGTGGTGAGAATGCTGCATCGTTGCGAGTGCGACGTATCCTGCACCATGGGCGTCCTGATATTCGGTCTGCTGGCCACCTTCCTCTCGACCTATCTGAACATCTTCAGCCTGCCGAATCTCTTCACCAACAACTCACCCTGCTTGGGTAATCTCACGAATCACTTCCCTCAATAAAAAACGCAAACAATCAGCCAAGTTCAATTGCCGTCGTCCTTCGACGACGAGTTCAAAAACCTGAGGCGATCATCTTTAGTGCAGTGAGTGCTTGGGTGTTTTGTATAACACAAACTACAAATTTAATAATGCTTAATAATAAATTCATTATATTACTCGACGACACGCAGAATTTGAGTGGTGGTGTTTAATTAGTTAAGCTTTATTAAAACATGGAAAACATCGAATAGCAAATAGCAGACAGCAGGCAGCCGGAGATCCAAACTATTTGTTGGGGAATTGCACACGCGCATCATTTATCATTTTTTTCGGCTGCCCGGCCAGTAAATGGTTGCCTTTTTGTTTGCCAAATTTATTTAGCCATTGGATGTGCGTTGTGGGTATCTTTTTTGAGCTGTGACTGTTGCTATTGTTTTGGCCAGTAATTTGAGACGAGCAGATGAGAGGCGCTCATCCCGAAGGTGGAAAGTAAACAGGCTGATAACACCTTTCGCGGCTCTCTTTTGTTGCCACTGTATCTGTGTTTGTGTATCTTGGTATCTTTGTATCTCAGTATCTGTATCTATCCACCTATCTGGCCGACATGCCGTAGTGGCTTAGCTCAGGGTTTAAATTTAAACACACAAGAACTCCGAACCCCCAGATTCTTTTGCCGAGATTCTTCTGCCTGCCGCCTTACGAAAATTTAATTTATTCTTTCGACAGCAGCTGTCTTACCTCCATGCTCCATGCATGGCTTTTTCCATTTGCGTATATCTCTTTCCTATATATAATATACCTACAAAGTCGATGATTTTTTCCTGGCATTCATTTCCGTCTTCCATAATACGTTTTTAAGCGCGTTCCATGATCGGGGAGATGACTCAAGGCATTGTGTTGATAACCTCCCCGGAGTCATCTAACCATCCAATGCAAAAACCGCAACAACAATAACTCGAATCGAATTATTATTTATATATTTTTGTTCCCTTCCATTCTCGGTGATTATTTATTAAAATTAATACCCAATTGTTTGATAGCTGTTGTCGCGTCATCAGTCGTCATCATCCCTCCACCTATTTGTCTGTCTCACCTGTGGCTCGGATGCTTTTATTGGCTCGTTATTCTCAGTTGGTTTTTTAATGGTCTGGCCAAAAAGGTACGCACTCAGCTATTCGCCCTTTTAATTGCTACGATCTTAGGGTTTACTACCTTTTGGGCCTTTCCGATGGCAAGTTGTTTTAGCCGTTTTTTTTATTTAACCATTTTTTTTAGTTGGCCAGATTTCAATATATGCAGAAGGTCTTGTATAGCACGAACTCTATGTTCTGTGGATGAGTCACGCTGGAGGCTATTACAAGTGCTTGTTGCCTTACCACTTGGACATGGATCCGTGGAGTCGGAGATGCTGCTGCCCCAAGCTGCCAGTTGCCAGTTGCCAGTTTGCCAATTGCCAAGTGCAGCATAAATCGTGCTAATTGATTATATCGCTTGTCCATTGACAAACGTTTAGGGTACCATTTGTTTATATTTTTTATGTAGTTTTTTATTTGCAAATAACTCAAATTAATACTTATTTTATTTTATGGCTTACATGCCGCGAGAAGTATGAATTTTATGACAGATAAGTGCTAGATACTTCCTCAATTATCCATTAAATATATTTTTGTAAATTCTTTACTAATTAATTTGCTTAAATTCGGTACTTGGCTAGGTGATTCCATGATTTATGTATATTTTTAAGAAACAGGGTTCATTTGAATAAAAGAAATGTAAATAAACCTGTTCAACATTTCTCATTTCACTGGAAGCCAGTTATGACTTTAGGTCTTTTTTGGCAAACACTCTGGTTTCGGTGCTTTCCCAGTGCTCCCAGAGATCTATAGACAATTCTCCGGCTGATTAAAGACCCATTGAGCACTCGGACTCGGACAGAGTGTCGCCCTCATCTTGGCCAGTGCCCGAGAGCCATTGCCAATTTGACTTGGGGCTGATGCCGCTGCCAATGCCTGTCCAAAACTGATTATACGGTGGCAATTTTCAAGTGGCCAGCACAAAGGCTTAACCCAGAATTTAATGATATTTAAATTGCAAGTTCCTTTTGGCCAAAAAGCAAAATTAAAAATCGAAAAATCAAAAATCGAAAAGCATACATTGTGTAGTGTGTACACACAACAAAAGGCAGCAAAGCTTTGGGCATAAAATTTCACTTTTCATTTCCTATTGACCCCGATTCCCTGGACACTGGCACTTCTTTCTAATTTTTTGGCTCCACGCTTACCCCAGCACCCCTGGTCCATTTTTTGTAGCCACCATCTCTCAGCAAAAAACGTCTGAAGTGCCCGCAGTTCCCTACTTCTACTTTTCCTAATCGAATTTCGAATCTTTGGCGTTCCATCCATCGATCGAACTGTAACGTCTTTCAAATGGCCATTTATGGTGGCTGCTCGTTTTTGGCTGCTTTCTGCATCAATTGAATACTCATTAGGCACACTCACACACAGCCAGGGCAGGGGGATCTCTGCCAGTCAGATCGTCAGATCTCGAGATCACCAGATTCGCAGATTTGGTTCCTCGTGGCGAATGATGACTTTTTGATTTTTTGTTTTTTTCGGCTTTGCCCAGAATCAGCACAAAGTGTTCAAAGTTTCAAGTCGTTTTGGCGGACTCTTCTCTTCTGAATATACCTTTTATGTGGTATAGCCCCCCGAAAAATTCTGCATTGTTTTGCATGTTGATTTCTGCCTATCTAACCTGCCTCGGGCCAAGATCTGCTTGACTTTGAATTTGACCAACATTTCCAGGGCGCGAACTGAAACGCGGTTAAAACGCACTTTCAGCCAGTTTCAGAGTTTGTTTACTTGCCAAATTTATTTTTGGCAAGCCTAGAAACGACTAGAATCAACAACAAACAATTGAAATTAACATAAAACGCATTTTTACATAATAAATGAAATAATATGCTAAGGCGCGATAACAACAATTCTTTAAAAATACTTCGATGACGTTATAAATGATTAACTCTTAGACAATACAAATTGTTTGCTAATAGACATGGAAGTAGTTACTCTGGCCAGGGAGGGGGTGACCGGCAGACAGAGACGAGTCCATCTAGGGGCTAAGAGCTTCGTAGATTCACATCGCTTTATTCAAATAAATTATAATATTTGGCGAGCTTCGAAAAAACGTGAGCCATAACAACAACAGCTCCGTCGAGACTCGATAATAAGCAAATAAATTATAATTATACACAAGTTCAATACAAAATGTACAGCCAAGGACGTTGAAGGCCATTCAACGAGTGTTTTGGGGGTTGTGCCTCCACCCCATCACTCAGACAGCCTCCTCACCCCTCCTCGCTGTCCCTCCTTGTCCCTGAATCATCGGCCACCTGCTCTTCCCCCTTCTAGGCATTTGATGGCTTCCTCAAGCTCATCGACATGCTAATCAAGCCGCATAAGCATTAACTCAGATTGATGCTGGCCCATAAATATGTATGGTGGCTGGAAGGAGGCTAGATGGGAAGGGGGATGGGTGGCTGGCAGGGTGCAAGGCCACATCCGAACTGTAAATAGCTTGCAGCTCATTACCATTAGCCTGTTGCTCCACGAGGACGCATCTTCGGTTTATTGTCTAAAAATAAACGCCAGGCTGCGCGACTCCACTCGACTTTGGCTTACTTCTTTGGCGCGCCGAGGGGCCGGAATCTGGCCAAGAGCCTTCCTAGTTGGCCTTCGTGGGCATTTTTGTTTTATTATTATTAATTAGTACGGTCCAGTGTAGGCACTGAGCCAGGAATGCTGCACTGAAAACAAATTAATTGTGAGTCCTTTGCATCTTAAAGGATTCACCGTTTTTATGATCACATCTGTGTAGTATCCTTTCTTTAATATTTAAGATAAATCATTTTTTGTTTAAACATATTTATTATTAGAACAATTTTTTAACATGCATGTATGTATGTATGTACTTAAGGACGAACCTCATGAAAGGGGTGTTGGCACTTTGGCGCCTCTCATCAAGGCGCCCAGACGCACCAGGGAAACTGCAGCTGCCTGATCCCATCCTCATCCTTGCAGCGTTTGGCCAAAGACAGCAACCAATTAATTGGCATTGGGCCTACTGCCGAACCCCGAACACCAAACCCCCAACTGTCAAGCCCCCAACCCCAGAAACTGGACGAGCGCTTTAATGGCAACGCTTAGGAGATGCTATAAATAAAACTCGGTACTTCATTTCCATTGTCAATCTACGGCCGTGGAGTCTGAGCCAAAGTCAGACCTATGGCTATGGCCAGAGAGATCTGGCTAGAACTTTCCACTAGCCGCTGCTAGTGCCGCTCATTAAAGAGGCACACAGCGCTGACTTTTTATTGATGCAATCAAAATGTGGCCCGAAACAAAAACCTTTTAAGAATGTCTTCAAAATGCAGCCAGCGGCAATTCCTCACTTCTCATTACCCGCAATGCCCTTCTTGGAATTGGCAAAAAAGCACAGAAACCGAAATGGTGTGGCATCATAGACCGGACTGGTCTCCACACAGGATCCATAAAACGGACGAAAACCTAACCAGATGCCGACGAGACTGTTAATGATGGACACACAGGAAATGGGTTAAGTGGTAACGAATAAATTGTCGGATTGAGTTCTTGCAAATCTAAAGGATGGCTGGGATTTCCCTCCCTCGGATCGTAAAAGGCCACAAAAAAGCTTTCAGTCTTGTCCTCCTCGTAGATTTGATTCTTGTTTTTGGGTCCATTCCATTTTAGAGCGTTACTAATGAAACGGCTACTATTATTGTCCCCAGTTTAGTCGGTGATTTATTTTAATATCTGAGAAGCCAGCTGTTATTATGCGTACACCGCCCTATCTGTCGAAAGAACCAAGGAATGAAATTAAAATGAAATGGAAATAGAATTAGAATTAGAAGAAAAGAGCGGATTAGAACGGAAAAGAATAGAACAGAGCACTTGACGTGAGTTTAACAGCCGCTACTTTATTTTGGGTTGAATAAAACAATAAACAGAAGTCCGGGACTGCGACTGGGACTGGGACTGGCCATTCAAATTAAACAGATTATTCATAACCTTTATAGTGTGCTGGGGACTGGAGAAGACCGCGGTCCCCTTGCAGATGATTAGATAAAAAAGAGCACTGAGGA